AGGTGGAATTCTGGTGCACAAATCTTGCTCACGAGCTTTCTCCTCCAAGCTGCAGTTATAGGTCTGAAAATTTCAATGTTGTGAATACTTCATCATATGAAAGTACTTAAACAGGGGATTACCATTTCAAGCATGTCTGCTGCAGTTGGATAACGCTGACCAAAATCTGGGGCTTTCCTAGTTTCACCTTTGGCAAGAAAATTCCTTAATATTAGGCAGTTTGCACTAATTAATCCTCTCGCCCAAAATTCCAATGACTGTTCACATTTTAATCGATCCTAATCTCACTCTGAGGTAACGAGTGTCCATTTACACGCTGTGATGCATTGGGAAACATCCACGTAAATGTGGAATTTACAAACCTCCATTTGTTGTGTATACCGGTGGCTGCTTTTCGCACTTTCATAGTCATTTCACTGTTGTCACCGTCACAAGAATATTGTGCATCTGAAAAGCAGATCTTCCTATGAGATCATCTGGAGTCATACTTAGTTATACTTAGTTAGTCATACTTATATAAGTGTAGTTAGTATACATAGTTAGGGAAACGCGGTTCTTTTTTTCAATGCTTTTCTTACGAGAAGAGTACATGTTTGAAAATGGCATTACCACTGGGTTGATTGTAAGCATAATCGAAATTCTCCCTTAAAATGTGCCGCATATTCAATTTCCATTCAGAATGGTAGAAGTTCTGTTTTTTCTTTTATTTGAGGTCTTTATTTCCATAGTACATCGACCCTTGATATACAGTAGCGGTCAAAAGTTTGGAAACTTTTTAATTCCGAAGCGAATTCGGCAAAATAGCTCTCGAATCTACATGATAAATTAGTTATTCGATGAGTAGCTGTGAATTTCTATATGTCAGCGTCGTTTTTATTGACATGGAGTTGATTATAAAATAATTTTAGGACTTTTAAGTCGAACCCTGCACACTGTGAACTAAATCACATTGTTTGGTGGGATTCTTAACTGGAATGTGGGTTGAGCGACATGCCAGTTCTTCCGTGGGATGTAGAACTCAATTAGACTTCAGATCTTGACTTGGTCGCTTCATAACAGCTTCTTTTTCTGGGTTTAGGAAGGCGGCAGTGAGGAGGTAGGCCTGCATTGGGTCATTTCCACGATAGAAAACCCATCTTTTTCGGCTAGTTCTGACTATCGAAGGGAAGCATTGTATTCTACAGACTATTCTTGTACTTAGCCCAACCCACATTTCGCTGGATACATAGAACTGGGGAATCGCCGAATGGTCGGACACATCTTCATCCATGACAATACTTCCACTATTTCTGACTGTTGGAATCTATACTCAAAATGAGGTTTCCATTTGACAAAACACTTCACAGGGTCCACAACATCATTTCTAGGAAGATAGAAATCCCATTCGTCGCTGAGGACAAAGTTTTACCTCTCGCCTTCGGTCCATGTTAGCCGTTAGTGTGCGGAAGCCAGTTGGGCCATCCTGCTCTTGAAGCCCAACAATGGCTTCTTGTTGGGACATCATCCGTAATATTCACCAGGTCGCGGCCGATGTTGGGCTGCACTTGGACTTTCATATGATTAGGAAAAAACCAGAAAAAGTCGTCTCTTAGTTGGGGATGTCGGGGGTACGGGACGTGCCAACCACCCTTCGAAGTATTTGAGGAGGGCCAATTTTCTTGTGAGGATACTTTTTTGTGAATGATCATTCTTCTTATGCTTACTCGACTCCAATAACGCTAGAAACATTCGATAATATTGCTTCCGTAGAGACTGAACTACTAAGAAACAATTTCAATTTCGTATTCCGGATTGTAGGGTTTAAAAAAACCTCCATGGAAAAACTGCTTCCTTTGCATATGAATTCATTTTGAAATTACACATTACTCAATGGTTGAACTAAAATTAACAGAAACAAGTAAACATTGAAGAGTAGGAATCATAATGATGAGGGAAACAAAAAGTTTCCAAACTTTTGACGCGCCATTACTTGAAAAAAATCTTATTTCTAAAATGATTATAGATTTTTGGAAATTGTTCTTCCCGTCGTATTCTGAACTCGATTTTGTATGGAATATCTAAATTTAG